TCTTGAGCTCTGTCTGGTATGGAACTCGTGACTGCATTTTAATGAGGGAACAAATTCCACTTCTGAGTGTGGAAATTTGTTCTGCTGCATCTAGTTATCATATGCTGTTCTCAGACTACATCCAATCTATCACTGCTAACTGTCCTTTGAGTATAGCATGTGTTCACAGTCAGAATACTAACACAGCTTATTCTCTGCCCCTCAGGCTTTACTAAAGCCCCAGTCTTCCCCTCAGTGTCAAGTTTTATAATTGGTAAGCCATTTTAGTGCATATTGATCTTTACCTGAACAATTTTTTTATTAAGAACAAAAGTTAATCGAAGTCAGAAGTCAAGAGCAGGTAGGTGCTGTTCATTTCAGTATGCTAGTAGATTGAAGTAGATAGACAGATACTTGTTCTGACATTCAAGAAAATCTATTTTATTAAATAAACAAATAATAGTAACTGAAAATCCTGTTATCCATAACAAAACTGATGTGTTAGGGCTTCCTGACTAACAATTAAATGGGAAAGTTATCAATCCTCCTAGGTGTAGGGACACATCTATTTCAGTTTCCAGAAAAGGGTGGTAGTCTGATCTTGAGCTGTAATGGCTTTTAGTTGCCACTGTAGACACCTAAATTGTCCATTGATTGTGTGAGAGCTGCAAATCACACTGAAGTCAAAACTATCAAATCAGACATGACTATTAAAATGTCATCTGGGGCCTGATGTCACTTTCAAATTCTCTGCAAAGGCAGACGACTTGAGACTGTAAAATAGTCACAGTTACATTTAGGGGATGTTACGTTCAATAACTATCTGTAGGTGGTTGGCCACTGCATTAAGACGTTTTTGGGCTTCAAGAGCAAAGAGCTGTCACAAAACAAGACTTAAAATCTGTGTTTTAAAGATGTGGAATACATTTTTGTTGTAATTTGTTTGAAATACAGAGAATACAAAGTGACATGTTGCAGTATGGGTGTGATGAGTTGGAAATGAGTTTATGAACCCTGCCTAGCAGTTCTAATTGGAGCCATGTATTTTATACTTGATCAAAACTTAGTTCTGGATGAAGTTGCTATTTTTTTTTCAGTATTTTATGCTTTAAAAATCAGTTGAGCTGAGTGAAAGTTTGAGGAAACCTCCTCCAGCATTTCTGAGTGTATGAGACTGACTTTCTCACTGACACACCCTTAAAATGCAAATAATTTAAAACGGCAAGATGGTGAATCCTGGTATGTTAATAATACAGCACAGCAAGCAGATCTGTCAGATTTTGAAAAGCAGTTTGCAACAGTTATGAATGTTAAACATTGAATTATGTTGCAAAATAACTTTCACTCTGGTCTCTTCTTTTGAGACGCACTACCTGGTCCTGCGTGTGGATTTTTCTCTAGTATGTACATAACTTACATCGTTTTCCAGTTGCATCAGAATGTTTCTGCTGTGCAGTGGAAGCACATTCTGTGTGTTACTGTAACATTCAGAGGCTCTGGTGAAATAAGGCTTTTAGCTGTGTGAGAAACCATCTTTATCTTTCCACGGGTAAGCTCTGGAGTAATGGCTGGATTCCTTTGAACCACAACTGATTGGCAAGTAGGGAAATGCTGCAGCTCTTCTTTCAGAAGATGAATGAATGTATTTAGTTCTCAGGCTGATGTGATAAGATTGGCCATGGACTTGCTGCCTTCAGGTTATCTGTTTGATTCGATAATCATCTCGGGAACTCAGGCAAATCCACCACTTAATTAAAAGTGGTCATACTTGTTCATAGTGATGGTGAGTCTTTGGAGAAATATATATTTTAGCTTTGAGCAGCAGGTTTTTCACTTTTATTATTTAATTTTCCCGTGAAATAAATGAATTTTAGATCGAAAATGCAATATTAAATTTTTAGTGTGTATACACAATACTTATATAGCAAACTAAACTGCCACCTTGCATGGTAACAGGTATTTTTTCTATTTTAATGTAAGTAATGTACCTTCTAAAGTAAAAAGGATTTTCCATTTCACTGCAACAACTAATATTCCAGAAAAGAAAACCCTTTTTTAAGAGTTGGAACATATTATGCCACAAAACATAGGTTTCTACCAGTTGTGGATCTGGCCCTTTAACTTTTTGCAGTTCCTGCCTTAAAAAAAAAAAAAAAAAAGCAACCATCTTTAAGCCTTGGAACCAAAGTAACAAATTCATATATATATATTTAATGTATTTACATATATAATTGAAAAATGTGGATGTTAAAACTGGTGACAGATGTCACAAAGGCCATGCACCAGTGCATTTTTCTGCAATAGTTTCACATTGCTGGGCTTACAGGGGAACCTGATCTCAGCAGAACTTGATGCGACAGAGGAAAAAATGCACTCTTTTTTTTTTTTTCTCCTTACTAGCTCACAGAAGTAGATGAAGATGACTGGGATATATCATCTATAGAAGAAGACTTTTTATTGATGAAAAATGATAGCGGTCAGAAGGCATTGACAGCTCAGAAAAATGAGGCAAATGCTGCATCCGTTGTACATGCGTGGGGTCTTCCGAAGAAGAGTGTGCCAAAAGAGGAAGGTAATACATTCATACTTCTAAGTTACAAGTCTTAAGTGCCTGACACACCTAGAGAACTTAAGTATAGTGTATTACACATTGTAAAATACCATATACTGAATAATAAGAAAAAATTGATGTGTTTTTACATACACATACATATGATATGTGTATGTAAACACACATGTGAATACATAGAGATGTCAAGAAGCTTTAATCTGAAATTTTACTATCCGGATTCAAACATGGTCTTAAAAATTGATCATCTAAGACATTTTAATTTTTTTATTTTTAGCCTTTCCCAAATTTGCGGCAATGAGGAATTTTCTTACTCTGTCTTGAGAATAATAATCAGCTCCTAGGTTTGTTCCAGATACCTATCCAAGTGTCCTGCCAGGCTGTGATAATTACTTGAACCACTGGAAAGGAAACAGCCTCAATCTCACAGAGGAGCTTCAAGCTCTAACATTTCAATGTGTTTAAAGATTAAAACTGAATACTTCATATCATTTTTAAAGAGAAAGTAAGTGTCATGTTGACACTACTTGTATACACATATTCTGTGACACAAACAGTCTTTGTATTATCAGCATTTGTAATTTCCTCACTGGTGAAGCCGTGGACTTCAGGAAAAGATGTTTGCTCACATAACATATGATTCTCTCATAGATATAATCAAAATACCCCTAAAATCTGATTAATTTTTCTTGTTATTTTAACAGGCCTTCATGAAGCTGATAATACAAGCACATTAAAAAGCAGCTTAGTCACTGTTACAGATTGGAGTGATTCTTCAGATATTTAATTGCTGTATTCCTGATGGGAGGCACTGCTTTTGGGTTCTGCTGGGGTTGAAAATGTAGTTGAAAGCATTGTGTTTTCTATTTATTTCTCATATTGTTCGTGTAACAACAAGGAATACTGTATACGGAGCTCTTGGGTCTTTCAGTCCTGAATTTGAACAAAAACTTTCATATACACGTCACTTGCACCACTACTTGGAAACAGAGGATTAATTCTTCTTTCTTGTGAAGTCAGTGGTGAAAAATCTTCTTGATTTCACTGAGGTGAAGACTTTGCCTCTGATGTTTACTTTAAAGACTGAGCCTGGTCTTGTAAGAAAGCCTGTTCACTAGTGAACAGAATTTACTGCAGAATATTATTTTTAATATTTTAAATGCATATTTTCTTGTATTTTATCATAAACTTTATAAAAATTGTGAACAGTGTAAATACAGTATTTCCATGTATTAAAATGTTAAGTTTCTTACATGGTTTACAATAAACACCAAAGGAAAAAAAATGGCCTCATGTATAAATATGTTACGACTAAATGCCTCCTAGTTTTTGGTTACTTTTTTTCCTACTGGAGTTGAGTCTTTGTTAACATAAAAGCACAAAAATTGGAAAACAAACAAACAATAAACAACAAACACATCAGCCCGAGGGTCAGTACTTTCCTTACTTTCATTGGGCAAGTACTTTCATGTTTCTGTTTTGTCCGTATTGCCTGCCTTCTTGTAAAGCCACAATCTTATTTTGACTTAAATGAATACAAAAATAAGGTAAAATAAAAGTAATTGTGAATGACTTTCTCACTCTGATGCATTTTAGATTACGTCAGGCACAAACCTGTCTTTTCTATTGTACTGTGCCATTACTAAATAGGACCAGGTACTGTTTGTACTTACACCTTTGTCCTAAAATAGTCAATGCAATGAAACTCCAAGGGTGCATCTGCTCAAACCTCAAGGCAGGCCTGAGTTTGTGCCTAAGTTTAGGGTCTCAGCCTAGAAACTACTCTGTGGTTATTCATAGTCTCTGATTTTATTTATTGACTCATTGTGTAAGTGTTCCCTCGAAACCCATTGCATTTCTAGAGCTAGGCAAAGAAACAGCGCTAGCTGAATTTGTGAACTGCTCTAACGAATTTAAGATTATCCGGACTGGTGCTGTGAAGTACTGCATTTACTTGGTTAGTCCTTTGCCAGGTGCTCATCATCACACGTGCCCTCTCCGTATGCCGTGAGGCTGTCTCTGAACAGCTGCTTTCCTAACAACTGGCCCTGACTCTCCTTTGTACCCGATCAGCCCGTGCTGCTGCTGGCTCCCCAAACTATGGGCTTGTTTTCGCTTTACCCAGGCTCCTGATCTTATACCTGTGGCACTGACTTGACGAATGTATTTTCTTACATCCCTAGCAATGTCAAAAGGAGATAAGAGCCTCGCCCCTGGCAATGTCAAAACAGATAAGAGCCTGCTGATTCCCATTGACTGCCAGCACCTGGCAGTGTGCTCTGAGAGTCCAACGTCACTGCTGATCGGTGGGGAGACATTTTACATATTAACCTGCACAGCGTGACCCTCCTGCGCGGTGCTGAACCCCTTGGAGAAGCGCTTGCAGTGATGCACTTACGGTACCTGTAAGGTGTGCGGTGCCGTTCCCAAAGCAACTGACAGACTGCGCCCGTAAATACCCTATTCATTTTTTATTTTTTATTTTTTTTTAGAAAGCAGCATCGATGCATGATTTGCAGGTATAAACTTTACAACACCAACATCAATCTTTAAAATATCGAATAATAAAATTTACATCAATACGTAAAAAGCTGCGAGTTAGTATCTTAAAAATTCATCCTCTTAGTGGTTATTCCATTGTGTTTTGTTGGGGAGAAATCACCCGGAATGAAACACACAAACTCATTTTCCAAACTGGCTTTTGGGGTCTTGGAACGGGACAATTACACGTAGGCGTTCTTGTCAAAGTGCTTTGGTGGGGTTTTGTCTGGGACGCTGCTGTGAACCTTTGTGCGAGAAGACATCACAGATGCGGCTCCGTTATACGCGTACCCCCTCCTGAAAAGAGAAGAGGAACAACTGTTTACAGCTCATCCCACGGCCAGGGAACATCTCTGCACCCAAGCACTGCAACCTCACAGAGGGAGGAGAAACGTGGGAACCTCGAGCTCCTGCTGGGTGCAGGACACCTTCCTTCTTTCTGGAGCCTTATTCAGGTTTGAGGTTTCCCTTTTCCCTCCAGCATCTCTCTTTGCCATTCCTCTCTACATAAACCTGTATCCCTCGTTCACAGCCAAGTGAATCGGTGCCCGATCGGGTGAAATATTTAGGCTGGGGCAGGCCCTAGATGAACAGCTGCCCCCTCCAGTTCTGCCTGTTCCTTTTCACCCCTCCTTGCTGCTGGAGGTCCCACTGCCACCGCCACCGTCTGGCAGCTCTCTCTCTTTTCATCTGGAGATTTGGGATTAAACCACCGCCTATTCATAACTCTAAGGTGACCTGACTGCTCTTCCTCCATCTGTGAATGCATTTTTTCCCGCTGTAGCAAGTTTATTAAGTATTTGTAACAAGTATTATTACTGAGACATTGTTTTTTCTTAATTACTCAAGGTGGGAAGAAAATTACCCTAAAATCCCATTAATTTCCGTCATGCACACAATCCTTTTCTGGCCTCACTGCAAAGTGTTTCGGAAAAGCAATCAAGCTGCAGAACATAGCAGGTACCAATGCCCTAGGATTGATTTCTGTCAGGAAGTGCAACTCGGGTTTTACCTTGGAGATTTACTGTTTTCAGCTATTGAGAAGCAGAATATACTGCCACCAATTATGCAGAGTGAAGCTCCAGCCCATCCAATGAATAAAGCTGCTCCTAATTCATACCTACAGGAAGTCAATAAATGCGTTTAACAAAGACAGAATGAATTTAACATTTCGTTTTCAGAATAGAAGCACTACATTTTTTGTTCCTCTTTTTTTTTTTTCCATTGACACACACATTTTGCATTGCAAAGCCAGCAGCTCTGTCGTTCTCCCAGGCTCTTTTCATTATTTCCCCGGCACGCGAGAGGCAGACCTGTCCCCGAGGCACGCTTCTGCAGCTTCTCCACGTCTCTTCCCAGTCGGAGGGCTGAAGAAATCTGCGATTCCTCGGCCCTTCTACCCCACATGGCTCCCATCCCCCCGGACCATTTCAGATTTGTTCCCATTGTCTCCTGAGCTGCTCCGTGGCTTTCTATGAGTCCTCCTCCAAGGCTATTGAGGCTGGGGACCTGAGCTGCTGCCTACAACTCTCCTTGTCCTTAGTTCTCCCCTCTGGCTCTCAGCCTGAGCACAACATGAGGTTATTATACATATATATATATGATATGCAATAAATAAATGTCAAGATATGCATCCACACGGAACCACAGACTAAAATCATTAAGGCTGGAAAAGCCCTCCAAGATCATCTGTGCAGCCCCAGTCGTCATTCAAGTGGATCTACTCTATATTAGTTCCAATTTTTATTGATAAGTTTATTGTGAGCTCTGCTGAGGTCGGTCTAACAAAATCTTGGGCTCGACAGCCTTCCTGTGCCTCAGAAGGAGCTTGCAGCTGCGTACTTCTGAGCTAGTTCTGACCACGAACGGCTCCTGTTCTGACATCAGTTGAAATACACAACCTGAATACCAGTAAGCTGTTCTGCAAAACTCCTGTCTTTACGAAGGTGATGCTGTGGAAATGGAAAAATTCCCTGAGGGGGGGTCCAGACACCCAGAAAATGATATAGGGAATTGTAGGGTGAACACTGGCTGGAGAACAAAAAGTCACTTTTCCATGTTTTCGCCCAAAGGTAAAGCACGGAGTTTTTTTAAAAGAGACATACTGCAAGAAAAAGCCACATGTAGAAAGAATATCAGTCTCTAGAAGCTGATAACACCCCCAGTTCAAGTTATTTCTGACTCAGGGACCTCCAAAAAGAGATGGGGACTTCAGAGCTCGGAGATAAGCCACTTGGTGGGGGCTTGCACCTGAGTTGTAACAGCCCTGGGAATGCTCTAACATCTAGACCTCCTTCTCCTGTTCCATTCACACCATCCTAAGCAGAGGTTTTATTTATCATCCCTTGCTAAAAAAAAAAAGGATCAGATTCCCCCAGACATCCTCCACACCTGACGTGGGATTTAGGGACCCAACCTGCAAATTAAGACGCTGGAAGCCACAGCTCAACTGCCTTTCACCCAGGAAAACTCTGTCTCCAGCCCCTGGTTTGACTTCAAAACCTACCACAGGTAGTTTTATTCCTAATGATGCTAACGTTTCCGTCCAGGTGCTTCAGGTTTCACAAGCCTGAGCAGATTTCTGTCTGTACGAGATCTGGGATTTATAAAATACTCACGCTGAATCACAGCCCCAAGGTGCCCTTTTAGCAAGCTGCAGAGGCGAACCAAAGCATTGAACTCCCAAACGAAGGGGCGTGAGGACCCGTCCTGGTGCCTGCCATCCCGCTACCCTAAGGAGCTGCAGGGCTGGCCTAATTGGTCTTTCCTCCCCACCTACACATACACAAAAGCCTTTGTGATTTACACTGGTGCTTATCAGGAATTTTCAATCGCGTATCAACCTGTGTATGGCTCCCTGGATTTTATCCAATCCAGGGTTTTTTTTGCAGTTAAGAAGCCGAGCCTACCCCACCATCCAAAATCCATGATATGCCATATTAAAAACATCCTGCACCTTGACGCCTCTTGAAAAAAATAAAAGACTAATAAATGGAGATAGGCTTTTTTAGAAGAAATTTCTCTATTTGCTGTTTTTCCCTTCCCTTTTTATCATTAAAACCCTTACAGGAAACGCAGTCTCCTGCTCTTATCATCCTTGCTTGTCAGGGGAACGAAGCACCGAGGCTAAGAGCAGGTATTTCACTCTAATCAATCCCAGGAGGCAGAATTCAGGGAGACAGAAGGTGTAACATCAGTATAGAAGGAAAATATCCTGGCTGTTACATAGGTCAGGGCCACGAAGCAAACTTTCATGTAAACCAGCTGAAATTTCGCTAGCCAGCTAGATGAACTCCAGGATGCTGGTAATGATCATACCTAACTTCTCAGCGAATCAATACAACTCCCCAGTGGAAATCCCTATTTTGAACATCTAATTCTTAAGACTGAGGGAAAATGAGAACTGGGTTCAAAGCCACGTGACAGCAGGACAGCGCAAAGAGGGTCTGTGTGGATGAACTGGGCACAACAGATTCTGGGAAAGAAAGGCTGAGGGGAAACAATTCTCTATAAAAATGGAAGTTAGTCAGGTAATTTGGATAAACTAGCTCCATTCATCAGGAAGAATGATCATTATTGAGTTCAGACTGCGGCAAGGGACAAAAAGGATGAAAACTAGAAAAGCTTTTATTAGAAGTAGTAAAGTGACGAAATGGTTTCCTAAGAGAAGCTGGCAAGACAGCAGAACAGAGAGAAGCATGGATTTTCTTCTCTTAGAGGTGTCTGAAGAAACATGCAGTCAGCTTGGCTGTGAGTACGGAGGCACCCCGTGCTGTCACCGAGCCTCTGCGCGTGTTGCTCCATGAGGTGGACCAGCACTCACGGAGCTGTTTTAAACCCCTAATGCAACCTATTGTGTGGGAACATAACATCCAGCCTCAGATTTCTAAGCAAGGCTGGCTTTAGAGCGTCCCAGAGGTGACTATCATTCCTCGCTAAGCTACACGTAAATTGAAAACCAGAAGTCTCTCGGGCACCAGCCTCAGGCAGATCTCTGATTCCCCCTGCACCTGTATATATTCAAGGCACCTCTTCCCCATGCAGAAGACCAGAGGGAAATTCTGATAGCCAAAGGGATGCCAAACATCCCGTGTCATTAATTTTCCACTATCTCAAACCACTCTTTGACACCACCCAGATAACTTCAGGAGAAAACATGCACCAAACTGCAAACAGTTGAGGAACCAAAGCAGCGTCCTCTCTCAGTTGAGCCAGTGCCAAATTTCTATAGCATACCAGCAAGGCTCATTAACTGCTTCTGCAATGTATATCAAAGTAAGAGTTCCCAGAAGGCAACAAAATTAATTGCTCCAATGTATTTTATATTGTTTCAGAGAGAAAGTAGTCAAGTAACACCTTTATCTTAACCTGACACAAGATCACTGCATGAGCTACATCACATGTCCACCATGTGAAACTCCAATTACAACTTCTAGTATTGCTCTCCACCTTTATCTTTGCAGCAAATATTTCTCATGCCAGCAGTTGTGCTATTCTGGTTGTTCAGGAAAAAGGTAATTTCCGCAGACGAAATGTTTTAATATTAGACCTTTCATTTTTTAAACTGGTTTTCTCATTTGCTCGCGGTAAAACTCTGCCGTGAGGTCTGCCTGCCCTTTTTGCAACAAAACAAGTGTAGGAACACAACGAAGGAAAGGGAATTTTGGCAATGATGAAGCTATTTTTCATTGGGAACATTAAGCCTGATGAATAATTAACTTCTGGCTGTATAGCCAGTCCCCATTTTCTCCACAGTAGCTCACATCCTTGTTGCTTTTGGTGGCCTTTGGATCCTGTCCTCTCCTCCTTACAAAGGAAACTCATATGAACTTGTTTTCAAGAAAAGAGAAACTGTGTCAGTCCTACTGCAAATGTGGATCCAACTGGTGTTATTTATTCAGGCTGACAGTTTTATATATACCCAGTGCTTGACGTCTTCGGGGATCACCTCAAAGGAAGCTTACATTACAGCCAGTGTTTTCAAACTTGGTGGCTAAAATGCAAATCTAGAATCCGAGGATGGGTTCATGAATTGCTGCCTTGGAAGGTCCTGAGCACTCACACAGCTTTCAGGGGAGTCTTTAGGGATGCTCATTATTTCTGGTTTGGTCCTGCAATTCTATAAACACACACTCCCTTGTATTTAATCGCACGTACAGCTAAAGCATTGACATTAGTGCTTTATGATTGTGGGTTATGAAAAATATTTATGATCCAAATTATAGTCATTGAGATTTCAAAAGCTGTCAGCAAAAACAGTCCACAGAACCTGCAGAAATGTCTCTTCAAATGGACTAAAGACTGCACAGCGTTCAACACCTTTATGGAAACCACTGGCTATCGATAGCTTAGAGGAATAATTTTCTTCCTATTGAATTATGTGCCTAATGAGCACCTGTCTTGTGAAATGCCTCCTCTGCATCTTTGACATAAACATAACTCCTGATCAACCCAGTCTGCTCTGGGACGAGTGCTGTAGAGTCCTGCCCAGCCGCGATAAGCCTGGGCACAGAGACCACAGACCCATCACTCTACAGAGAGGTGTTAGCTCATGAAACCTCAGCACACAATTACTACAGTTGGAAAACATGATGAAATATGAATAAAGCCCACTTGCCATTTCTACCCAACAGGAGAAGCATCTGCTTTCTGCATACATGAGTTCTGGCACGCAGCATGAAACTTAAGGTCTACTCTTGAAAGACGAAGGGGTATAGGAAAGTACTTACTTTTGTGCAATATAAGAAGGATCAAAGAACTCAGACGTAATCCTGTTTGCATACAGGGAACAACCAGTCATAGAGCACAGCCCTGAAATCAAAAGACAAACCGTTCAGTGGAAGCAGCACAGGAGCTTTGGGCCTGACCCTGACGCAGTCACGTGTGGATTTCTGCTGCAAAGCAGACTCCTGGCACGACTCCTGAATACACAAACTTAGAGAAATAAGGTATATTTACCAGACAGTATGAAAATCAGTCCAGCTAAACAAGCTATTTTCGCTTTGGTCTGATCAGAACCGCCGACTTTTGTACACTTCATCCCAATCAGCCCAAACACGGAACCGAAGAACCCCAGGCAGACGGCGGAGATCATCAGTCCTCTGCAGGCTTGGATGTAACCTGCAACGAGAAAGGGCAAGGCTAACGTGAGGGCAGGGAACACAACGGGTTTCACTGTAGCTCCCCTCACCCTGGAAAGCATCTGGCATGAATTAATTACTGCAAACCAAATTAGACCTTGGCTGGTGTAATGCCAACTTATCCCAGAGTGTATACTTCCAGGTGATGGCGTGATGATGCCGCGTGAACCCAGTCCCTACAAAACTCGCCGTGTCACTTGGGGCTGCAAAAACAATTGTGGCATTGGGCACAGTGTCCCCAAGAGGCTGCATCCATGGGGTTTTGAAGAAGAGCTCTGTGTGGGATGTGCAGCATCTGCCACAGGCTGCAGAGGCACACAACATCTCGCTGTGCAGATGCCACAATGGCAGCAGGTTGGCAAGGCCTCATCTCTTGTGGATCAGCCCAGCAGGCCCTCGCTCTGCAAGGAAGCCAAATATGTGCTCAGCTTCACGGAGAGCAGAGATCCTCAGAGATAAAGCGAGCTGCTGCCACGCCGGACCAGTGCTGGATTTGGCCACACGCAGTTTTGCCAGGCTGCTCTGAACCGATGCGCCCGAGGGCAGGGCCTTTCCGCAGGACACCCGACTGCTTGGCCTCCTCTCCCTTCCTCCTGGGATTAAAACACAGTGATAACCACGTGGCACCGTTCACAGGGCGGAACAGTGCCATCTCACACAGCCAAATAACCGTTTTATAGCAAGAAGTTTCTCTCCATAACCCATTACATCTCATTTAAAATGGAAATGCACTTCCATTATTCGTGCCTGCAGTCTTTTCTCCGTGATCTCTGGTGGGTGGAAATGTCGAGAGCTAACCCAGGTTTCCATTGCTTATTACACCTGCTCTTTCAGAATACCAAATAAACAAAAAAGCCCTGCATAAAAGCCCTTAAAATGTGGAAAATTAATGTATTAAAACAGGAACTAGGGGATATCTAATGGAAAAAAGCAAGTAATAGATTCAAAACAAAAAATGTGGTTTTTTTCTTCACACAATAAAGTTGTGGAGCTGTTTTCCACAGGCTACGTGGATGCAAAAGTTCTTGCACAGGTGCAAAAACGGGATAAAACCATTAAAGAGAAATCTCTGCCTGGCTGGCAGGCCCCTGAGCTGCAGATGGCCATCGCAGACGTTTGGCCTTCTTCTGCACTCTTTTCTGGCAGCCACTTTGGCCGCTGCTGGAGGAATACCAGCTCCAGGATGAGCAATTTCTGCTTAAGAACACTTAAAAAAAAATAAAAAATAACTGATTCACAGCTTTGTGTAACACACAGCACACAAGAAGCAATTTGTAGGACTTAACACCCCATGGGCATCTTCCATCTACAACATGCTCCTGTAGTCCCCCTGCTGAAGGAAGAATACTCAATGACATAACTGTAACAGCCATAGGACTCTCACGTTGGAATATAAGCATCATTTGGGTCTGCTGATGTGTCTAACACTATAACTAAAATTATTATAATAAGTTGAACTCCTATGGTAGCTGGATGAGCTGCCCACTGGAGACACCTCCCTTTGCCATGGCTGATAAATGAAGCACAGGCTGGCAAGTTCAGAACCGGGTCTCATTACACCTAAGTCTAGACTTCTGATTTTTAGGTACTTAAAAAATCACAATTTTACAACTACAATTTACAATTTTACTTATCTTCCATATCCAATAATATGTCACAGTTTGTATTTTTATACAAATTTATATAATGCGTATAAATTTGTGTATTCTTCTGTTTTTGAAAGAGGATCATGAGGAAACCTTCAGTTCTTACAGAAACACGCCTCAGACACGTTCCCTTGAAGTGTTACTTCAGCATTATTACCATGTTTAAGTCTTGTTTGAACTCAAAAATTAGCCAGCTCTTTGGATACATTTTTTTTTATCTTTTTATCTTTGAATTTCTGCTGTGCTGAGAGTATCTACTGTGACTTTAACGCAGAATATTTTGATAGGCATGGCTGATATTTGTCTTCAGCAATGGTCAGATAACCTAGGATATAACGCCTCTAGTGGAAATGTTTAGTGGCAGGTTGCTGTACCTCAAAACTTTTTGAATCCACATAAAAAGCAATGCTTCCCAATGTTGTAGCAGAAAGGAGACAGCCAAAGCCTTCTCTCCTGCTCTCCTGGGAGCACAATTTAGATAGGAAAAGGCTGCTGTCTGTGGTCTTCTCCACTCAACACTGAAGAGCCTCCAGCCCTGAGCCAGCAGCCACGAAAAGCAGCTCCAGGTAGGTCCCTCTCAGACCCCTAAACACACGAGCAGCATCCCACATATCATCCCGTGGCACCCCAGAGGAGATGCCTTCACCTGAAACATGGCATGACAGAACGGAGAAGCAGCACCACGTCCATGCTACAGGGGCTAACTCGGACCAGATATGAGACAAACCCAGCAGAACTACAGACTGAAGATTTACGGAGCCAAACCTAAGACCACCATCTGCCTAAGCTCTCCTAGGTCCTGTAAAAAACTTTTTTGGGGGGACCTGCAAGAAAACAAAAGGTATGGACACCCTAAAGAGTGAACCACTCTGCAGAGCGCGCAGTCATACATTGTAAGAAGCTTCTTCACCTCTGGTGTTCACCACACTGTACCATCAGCTGAGAAAACCTGGCATTTGTGAGGCATCATTCACCCTATCCCAACAGAGGAACCTACAATAGATCACATTAATTGCACCTCTCTTATTTAGTTATTTATTTATCTCCTGAAAGGGTTATAAAGTGAGCTCAGGGAGCTCACGCTGGACGGCCATATTGTGGTTACCTCAGACCAGGTGAGGCGACCACCCTTCTAGCCAAACCGGCCAGGGCACAATTTCCTCAACAGCGAAATAAAACTATACTCCCCAACAGATCAGCTGAAATTCCAGCAATAGCTAAAACTTCTGCTTTCGAGTAAAATCCTGTATTTTCACTCCGTCCCCCCCTCATGCCCTCAGGCAAGACCAAAGGACGTCAGTAGGAAGCGGCGTTCAGTAAGATTTCAAAACGTGGCTCTTAGCTCACAAGACACAAATCTGAAGACAGCAGCCTTGTTTTCTCTCATTATTTTTTGCCAGTAGGCCTGGAAAAGTTTGCTCTTCCTACTTTTCCACGTAATGTATTTCCCATAGCAGCCAGGTAAGGCAGGAGATGCAAACTGGCGAGGAAGCTGTTATTTTTGACAGGCCCAATTTATCGATGCTGTTAGGAGTTAATTGGCACATTAAGGTGCTGAACCATGAACATATTTACCCAGAGGTCCTCTAAACTTTTCTTTATGCCTGAACCTCCCAGGAGAAACAGTAAATATTCACCCCAACCCACACAAGCCATGGATGCTAGGAACGACGTGGCTGAAATGCAATTGTTGCTGAAGGTCAATGCGCAGCTTCAAAATAGGCTGAGGGTAGTGAGACAGCAAGAAATGATTAACTCCCTCACCCAGAAATCATTTTCCTTTATAATAGCATGAGCTGGAGCACTGCTCAGCTCTGCTGAATGAGTAACCTTCCCCGCTCAATATTTCACCAAATTCTGCAGGCCAGCCAAGGCGGGACTCGTTGCAGCTCGCCACAGCCATTACCCAACAGGCACCCACTTTTAACACAGATATCTGAAAAAAAATAACCACAACCTGCACCCGTAAGGTGGGAGAGCAGAAGACTCAGCTCTACCAGGCTGACTGGAGCACCAGGAAACAAAAAAGGGTGAAATCAGCCTTAGCACCAAACCCCCAGTCACTTGAACCTAGGTTAAGACTGACCTGGGGAGCGTTTGGCTGCAACATTAATCAAACCTTTGCTTTGCTTCCTGGAAAGCAAGGACGTTACCTTGCTTACTGAGACTCACAGCGCAGGGAAGTGTATGGGGAAGCTGCCAACTTCTTCCCCCTCTTCCACTGAAGACCCAAAAAAGAATTACATGTGTTTGCATCAGGGTCCGTAAGAAGCTGGTACCTCGTCATGTAGCCGCCGACCACCCAAAGGAAGCTCCAAAGCAACAAAAAGCCATGTTTTAAACAGACAGGTAGACAAACATGTATTACGCATGAAGTCATGTTTAGCAGCATTCCACGAGAAACCTAGCTCAAGTATTTTTTTTTTAAAACAAATGTGTTTTGTCCTGAATTCAAATTCATCTTGCTATCATCTCGCCTGCCTCACTGCTCTCATGCTTGCCTCTCATGCTCACCTCTAACGCTCTCAAAGAGCTCTGGGGAATGTGTATATTTATGCAGTATATACAATACTCAGAAAAAAAAAAACACCTGCATGCTGTTACGGGGATCATCACTTTCACAACAAATACCTGCAGTGGCATCCTGCAGTCTGCACCAAGTGTAAAAGGTTACCTTACAGATAGAGCACGAATTCCTTCCGAAAGCACACGCCCATTGCTTTTGTATGTTTTTCTAAGCTCTAACACCCTCTTCCATCCCCTAAGTAAATTCACGTTCAGCTGAGCTGTCGCAAGGTCACTGGATCCACCGCTGGAAATACGGTCACGGGCACGTCCTGCCCTGGGGAGGCGTTTCCATCACCAAGTTCCCATCCACAGCCAGGAGTGCACAAAGATAAACCCCAGATGGTTTCAAATCCCACGGACTGCAGTATCATTTTTGCTTGCATATGGATCACAGGGGCGAGCCCTTAATGGGGGCTGGCCAGACTGTGCTGGGGAGGGTTTGGGGGTGCATCATTCCCCCCCCCGCCCACACCATGCCTGGGGGCCAGGATTTGGCCCCACAGCACTCGGAGACGCCGCTGAGGAAGGCTGATGCCGGGCTTCCTCCCTCTGCTGTCACACAGCCCGGCCGGGAGGGCGGGACGAGGTCCTCTCCAGATGTGTCTTCGGGGTTCAGGAGCTTCCAGGTGCTTCCCTCTGCAGCAGCAACTCACCTCCTGGGGCAGCGCAACCCCACAGATCTTCCAGATCCCAGTCTGGGGGGCTTTATTCCAGATCTGAGTCTTGGGGACTTCACCCTCCAGTAGAGCAGCAGCCTAACAAGAGGCTCGGTGCCTCCGAGGGACCCCAGCGGTGCCGGGACAGCCCTGCCACCCCTCGGGGACACTGGCACAGCCCCCATACCCCCTGCCACCGAGGGGCTGGGGGGGAAAAGGATGCTCCTGGGGTCGGTGCTGCCACACGGGAACGCCTGCCCTCGGAGTGCGGACCTCTCCTGCGTCCTGCCGGCGGCTTAAAGGCTTAATGGCATTAATTTGCTTCCCGATAACATTTATCCCCGCGGCGATAACATTAATCTCTGCCACTGATTGGCTTCGCACTTTCCTCTTCCGAACAGACCTTTCGCTCCCAAATCCACCCTCAGCCTCCCGTGCCCGGCCAGGGCTGTAGGTCCGACTTGAGTTTCGACCCGCACCGCGCTGTTTATTCATTTATCACCCCCCAAAAAAACAACATTTAGTCCCAAAACCCCTACTCACAGCCAGGCGAGCCCTGCTGCACCCCGCAGCTCTCTTAGGGGAGCCGCAAGCAGTGCAGGTGAAGGAGCCGGGTGCTGACACCCGCACAGAAACCTCGATAGGACCCCAAAATTTCCCCTGGCTGCTATGGGGTCGCGCAGCACCGAGCCCCCCACCCCCTGGGGCTGCTCCCACGGCGTGGGGCACCCCCGGGGGGGTCCCTCCCGGCCCGGCTCCCCCCTCCCCGTTCTCCCTGGGGGTTGATTTTTAATTTTGGGGGGGGGGTTTTCTTTTTTTTTTCGGGGGGGTGTTCGGGCGGCCCTGACCGTCCAGCGCCAGCATGGAGGGGAAGTCCTTGCAGTTGGAGACGCCGGTGGAGTCGGTCACGCAGGTCTTCCAGAGGTTGGCCCAGAAGGTGGCGGTGGTGATGACCGTGCCGTCGATGGTGGACACCTTCCAGTAGTCGGTGGGCAGCGTGGAGGACACCAGCACCCAGCCGGAGATGGTCAGCAGGAAGGCGACGATCTCCGCCGCCGTGCTCGCCATCGGGCCCGCCGGGGCGCACACCCGGGGCGCGGGGACGGGGGCGCGGAGCCGCGGCGGGGGCGCGCCGGGCGGGGCGGGGCGGGGCGGCCGCGGGAGGCGCTGATTGGGCGGCCGCCGGCCCGCCCTGAGCCCCGGACACGCCCCCTCGGAGGGAGGGGCGGGGCTTGTGTGAGGGGAGGTGGGGGGGAGGCACGGGCGGGGTTCTGCATCTCCCTGTTTGTAGGGGCGGGAGTGCCCATGTGGAGTTATGTGCACATCCTGTGGGGGATGATGTGCTCCCTCTAGGGTTAGGGGCACTCCCTGAAGGGTTAGGTGCACCCCTTGTAAGGGAAGGTGTGCCCTGTGGGCTTAAGTGTACCTCTGTAGGGTTAGATGTATCCACTGAAGGGTTAGGTGCTGCCCCTGAAGGGTTAGGTGTACCCACTGAAGGGTTAGGTGCCCCCCCGTAGGGTTAGGTGCACCCCTGTGGGTTTAGGGGCACCCACTGAAAGTTTAAGGGCACCCCCTGCAGGGTTAGGTGTCCCCCCTGTAGGGTTAGGTGCACCCCTGTGGGTTTAAGGGCACCCCCTGTAGGGTTAGGGGCACCCCTGTGGGTTTAGGGGCACCCACTGAAAGTTTAGGTGCACCCACTGAAGGGTTAGGTGCACCCCCTGAAGCATTAGGTGCACCCCCTGCAGGGTTAGGTGCACCCCTGTGGGTTTAGGGGCACCCACTGAAAGTTTAAGGGAACCCCCTGCAGGGTTAGGTGCACCCCCTGCAGGGTTAGGTGCACCCCTGTAGGGCTAGGTGAACCCACATAGGGTCAGGGGCACCCCCTTGTAGGGTTAGGTGCACCCACTGAAGGGTTATGTGCACTCCCTGAAGCATTAGGTGCACCCCCTGCAGGGTTAGGTGCACCCATGTAGGGTTAGGGGCACCCACTGAAAGTTTAGATGCACCCACTGAAGGGTTAGGTTCACCCCTGAAGGGTCAGGTGCACCCACTGAAGGCTTAGGGGCACCCTCTTGTAGAGTTAGGTGCACCCCCTGTAGGGTCAGGTGCACCCCTGTAGGGTTAGCTGCACCCCATGAAGGGTTAAATGCATTAACCCCACTGCAAACCCACTCCCCTGTGAGCAGGGACCCTTTGAGCAGGGCTAATTTGCCCTTTCAGACCCGGGTTTGGACCTTCATGCCCCTGCAGACCCGTTTTTACCCTAAGAAGCGTGAAGTGCCCTCAGTGTACCTGAGTGCCCGGTTTGGCTGCGGGGCTTTCTCCTGGCTATCCTGCTGCTCCCGAAACGTCTCCGGGGCTATCTGTGTTACTAATCCGGCCCTGACCGTCTCTCTCCTCCAAAATCAATGCAAGATCTCGGGCTCCTGATCCCATCTGCGGTGGTGCAAACCCCAGCTGACATCAGGCGGGGCTGGGCGCTCGCTCTGGGCTGAGGGTGAGCAGGAGCCGCAACCACTCTTCCCCCGTGGCATTTTCCTGGCGTTGGCTGCTATCTGAGGGATTAGGAGGTGGAAAACTTTCCTCTCCGGGGTTGCGTTTGTGCCCTTCTTACATCAGCTCCTCTTCCCTGTGCAGCAGCAAGCTCCTCGGTCACGCTCGTAGCTCAAACACCTTCAGCTTGGGGTTTTCCAGCCACCACGTCCCCTTTTCTCCTCACTGCTGGCCAAGAACATGGTAGGCAGGTACACATATGCCTGTCAGACCCCTCAACCTCTACCTCTGTTTTTTTGCCACCTAGTTCTGGCTTTCTTAGGTTTAACTTGTGTGGTAGGGTGACAGACTCAGCCTTTGCCTTGTTTCTTCCCCCCATGCTTTGGGACAAGCCCTGACTGTGGGATATTGATAAGTTCTGCAGGCACCCCATGACTGATTCCTCTTCTTTTCTGCATTAAATTGAGCAGAGCATTGCACTAACACGGTTTCATGCTCATTCATTTGCCTGAGCGTGTATTTATCCCCTTGGGAAGAAAGGTGCTCACAACCTTTCCTAAGAAAACCATCCCTTGGGGTTCAGGTTTTGTCTCACTGCATCTCGGGCATAAAAACGTGTTGTTGGTGTTGCTATTTTTAATCATTATTACTAAGTGCAAACTACATCTTCTTACAATCAGAAGTCAACGCTGGGATTTCTACAGTGGACAGAAGTTGTTTTGCTATCTGCAGAAGGGTCCGTCTGAAACGGTAGGGCTGAACTACAGGATATTATTTTAGCTTTTGCAGGATCAAAATCACAAGCAGTCATGATTGCCTCATAAGTCAAACACCCGATGACAACGCCATTTGTTCTCTAGCCAGGATAAGCAGACTAGGGTCGTCATGCCTTTGTCCTGGAGTAATTTTTCTTGTAATTTTACCACGCACAGGTTGGGCAACTTGAGACCGTTTCCTGGCTCTGCTGTGTTATGGGTTTCAAGGTGCCTAGAGCACTTGTGCAGGAGGAAAAAAAAAAAAAAGATAGAAGAAAGAAAATCAACCCACTTTATTTTTCTAAGGCTGAAGGACAACTTCCTTGTTTGCTAGGATTTTCCTGGGGATTTGAATATCAAAAAGGTACGGCAGCCTCGCAAGGAGCACAGCCAGGCTTGCGTGAGAGTCACACCTCGGCAAGGTCAGACCTGCTGGTGGTGGTGGATTTGGGGAATGCACCTCACATTGGCATACGTGTTAGAGGAGGTGAAGGGGACTGTGAAATGAGGAGACTGGCAGTGCTCTGTGTGGCACAGAACAAAAGCGCCGCCTCAAACAAAGAGCAGATAGCTCCTCTTCTCCAGAGGAGAATAAACAAAGGAAAGCTTCTTGGTTTCCTCTTCTGTGTCACCCTACAAAGCCCATCAGGGCAGGAACATCAGGTAATAAGCACCAGCCCTTGCTCATGTTGGATCACCACCGGCGTTTTTGTTGAGCTATGAGAAATTAAATGAAATTACCGCCCATATTTGTAAACCATCAGGGCAAGAGGGACTGTAAGTTCCGCGGTTCGTCTCTTATGTAAGTAAAAGTAAAAATTAATAGGAAGTGACAAGCCAGAGCATTTTAAAGGAGTGAAAAATTGCATTCCAAGAGCCAATAAACTTTCCCCTCTCCCATTCTGTGCGGTGCGTTTGGACATTAGAGACTTTGTTTCTTGACACCAAGATTAATGCAGCATTGCTTTTTTTTTCACCTTTTCTTAATTTTGTTGGGGAAAAAAAAAAAAGAAAAAACACCTTGCGTTGTTCCCTGAAAGTTTGTAATACAATGCTTTTAAAAATAGATATAACCTGTTTAACAAACTGAGCAGGAAATTTGAAGAAATGCATCTCCTACTTCACTTGAGGTGCATTCCACCTGGCAGGCAGCACAGCTGCAGCGCTCGGTAGTGCTGAAGCCGTCTCCACGTCAAATAAGGTTTCGCTAAATGGGGGCTGATCGCCTTGTAAAGGGAGGAAACTTCCCAACTGATTTTTGGAGCGTGGTCCCGTGCAATGGGATTTAGAAAGGATTCGTGAAATGAAGGGCTGCTGCATCTAATGCACTTCACAAGGGTTTAATCAGGGAGGGGGGCAAATCAACGCCTTTCCAAAGCAGCCCGTTTTCAGAAGCGATCCCTGCAGTGAGCCACAAAGACGCAGGGGCCGAGTCCTGACCAGTGGGGCTGAGCTGCAGCCCAGGCTGGAGCCCGTGGTGTTCCTGCAGTGGGAACACTTTGCCACCCGGCCCATGCCCTGCCCTCGTACAGCGGGGCTGGTCTCTGCCCTTTTCCCAATGCTTGGCAGACCTGGGCACGAGCAGTCCCTCGTCTTTCACAGGCACCCACGCGGAAAGCTTCGAGTACAAATGACTACAAAACAAGAACGTGCTTGTGTTTGGAGCTGGGGGTTGGACTGGGTGACCTCTAAGGTCCCGTCCAACCCAAATTACTCTGTTACCCTACAACTGTGTCGTAACAAGCAAATAGGGTAGCACGGGGAGCCCTAATTTGACTTACTGTAGCTGTTGTGAGTGGGGCAGCGGCGCGCCAGTGATTACACATTGCATGTTGTGCACAGAACGGGATTGCTTCAGGACCCTGCCGCCCTGTTATTTAGCCCACGTGCTGAAATTTCGTTTCACGGAAATATGCATCTCAGTTCACAACGGCGGTACATTGGACTACTTTCCCAGCTGTTTACACGGTGAAATTTTTTGCAGTGGTCACTGCTTTTGAAAGTGCGTTGGACAGGCTGAAGAAAACCCAAAGCGGGGAGCATGGCACCAAAGCCCTTAGCTGTGCCCTCATCGTATGCCTCCCAGGTCTCAAGACTTGGGGGCACCACGAGGTGCGGAGGAACACGAAGACCCCTTGCACACAGAGTGAGCAGAGGCACTGTCTGGCACACATGCTCTCATTTCCATCTATATTTTTAAGCCTGGTTTCCCCTGTTTCTTTTTTACATCTCAGATCTCAGTGCTGTCAGCTTTACTTGTGGTTCCCCAAGCTCAACAAGCTTCAATTTGATGTGAAGTCTCTCGTATTCACCAGAGAGCTGCCTCTGCTGCCCCTTCCCACCAGAGGATTTTACCTGCTTCAGCCGAGTGAAGCCTGTCCAGCGTTT